GGGCTAAATAAAGACAGACAGACTCGAATGGAAGGCGTATACGCATATACGTATATCTCTCATATTTATTCTATTTGGTTTATTTTTACTCACGCCTCACGACTCAGGAGCTGCGCATTACATCAACTTAATCACTAATTACTGTGTTACGCATAAATAAATGTGCCCACTCTCGAGGGGCGCTCGACATGGAAATTTTTGTGGTGTCGCACTTCTCTCGACTCTGAAATTTGCAAACTAATCTGCCATTTATCACGGCCCTGGCGACAGGTATCCACTTGATAGGTCGACCCGTAGACGGGGGCGGAGGCAGAAGCAGAGGCAGAGGCAGAGGCTGAGGCTATGGACTTGGACTCGACGCATTTGAATACGCGAATTCGCACTTGGAGTGCATTGCGCAGGGAACTCTTGAAAATGATTTATTTTTGATAAATTGCCAGGGTCTACGCCGTACGCTTGCGCTTAATTTTGCAAATGATTTACACGGAATGACACGGAATTTCATTTCGAAATACGCAATTGCCCAAACTAGCTGGGTGGCAAGCCCATGAATCTCCCGAAGAACACGGACTACACTCCATGTGACAATGTCTACAATTTATTAAGTCAACATTGCTGGAGTTTGTTCCTGTAATTAGATCATCAGAGTCCATTTGCAGCTGTGGGGATGCGATAGACTATATTTGTATATGCTGCGAAATAGGGTATATTCGTTTTGTAGAAGAAATGTCGCAGGGAGTGAGAGAAGTTTCGATTGAAGCTAGAGACTTGAGATTTGGCATTGATGGACTTAAGTCTATAGTCGTAATGTAAGGTATTAATATTTTTGGATATGCCTATTGTCTGTAAGAGGAATTGAGATTCAATATTTTAGCAGCCATAAGCTCATATAATTCTCTGCATCTATAGATATTTTGAAATAGGATTTGTTCAAATTTATTTATTTTCTGCACGTGTATTATTCTAGAAATATTTTTGGTTATTTTAATAATTAATGATAAGTCATGTAATATATATGCAACATGTTGCTTAACACAAAAGAAAAGTTGTCATACTAAACATTTATCATTTTCCTCTTTTAATTCACTTACAGAAAATTTATTCAAATAATTCGAAAGTTAATTATTTATTTATGCAAAGCCTTAATTCATTTTGCAGACTGTGCCTAGCTATAATTCTCCGAGTTTTCGCATATACATAGAATAACATTAGATCATGAGCTCATTAAGCTGAGCTTTGGCTGCTGAGTCAATTTCCGAAATTTTATTGTTTTTGTGGTTTATTGTTTCATTGATTTATATTAAAACGATTGAGAATTATTGCTTGACTGGAAACGAAACTTGTTTCGTTTCGTTTCGTCTGTCCCAGTTTGCCTTGGCAATTTGTCATGCTTTCGCACTTTTGTTGAGCAGTGTAACACGTGAAGTAAGCGCCTGAACAATGCAATTTATTTGATATGTTCGAGTTATTCTCTAGAGAATGTGGTTCAACTTTGTTCGACTTTAAATATGAAATGCAGAATGGTCAGGCTGTGTGAGAGTGTGTGTGTGTGTTTGTGTGTGGAAAGGCAAACATATATATGTATAATGTTTTATGCGTACTTACTCCCAATTAAACCCAATCAACTCGAGCATAGCTGCCCTCTAGAGAGACTCAACTTTGAGTTTGTTAAAATATTTAAATTTATTTCGCTATAAGTCATAGAGAAGGTGTTGTATGAAAGTAAATTTAATGGGAAGACCCCATCGAGGAAGTTCGAATTTATTTCCAGTACGTGATCAAAATTGTCGATAGACTTGATGTTCCATTTAGAAGGCAACAGAGTTATAGAGCAAATACCGAAATCGTGGTGTGAAACTGAACTGATTTGGAGTGATTTGAGTACATGCAGTAGCCACTGTGTCGTGCTGCTGCTGCTGCTGCCTGTCCACTGGCAGCTGTCCATGCCAAGCAACTACAGCTACTTAGTCATATAATTGCCTTATGCCAGCTCGAAACGTGGGCCACTTATCACGCGCGATAATAGGAGTGTGAGTGAGCTAGTGTGTGTGTGTGTTTGAAAAACCAATTGGAAATTAGAAATCAGCGTCAATCGGTGCGGCAATCAATCGTGACTGTTGTTGTCGAAATGCCGACAAAGGAGCAACGCACGCGCGGGGCAAAGGCCCACAATTCAGGGTAAGGGCTACGAATCTGACTTTGACACCAGCCACGCTGCTGCTGCCATCCTAGGCGGCCAGAGAGCCAGAGAGCTAGAGCCCCAGTCAGAGCCGGGTCCGGGTCCGGGCACTTGAACCACAAAGAGCACCGATTTGTTGATTTGTTTTGAAAAGTGAGTAAATATGTTTCCATTTATGAATGTTTGGAAAATGTGTTCGCTGTGTGCGCTTCGCTGTTTTTTTTTTTTTTTTTTTTTTTTTGGCCCGACTTTTTTCTACTTTTGTTTGAGCAGCAATCCCATTTTGAAGTGGTCGATAAGATGCCAGGTGCTGATACGTTATCAGCTCAACTGATAGCAGCTCGCAACGTTGATTGGCGCTGGTGGTGGTGGTGGTGGTGGTGGTGGTGGTGTCAGTGGTGTCAACACTCACTCACTTTGTGCACCCACTCTATGACGACTCCACTTTGTCTGCCATCATGCACAAACAATTAAAATGGTTGCAATTTGCTAACAAAATCTTTGCTGGGACTCTGTCCAGGGCTCAAGCCAAAATAACAAATTTATTGAAAGCAATTTGCATGGAATTGTTTGCCTCTGCTGTGTGACTTTCATCATTTGTTCTCTCGGATACGATTTTATTTTATTACTTTTATGTATGCACGCATTGATGCACAAATTTAAGAAGATTCTGTATGGCAAACACACACATGTGTGTCTCTGTGTCTCTGCCTCTCTCTCTGTCTCTCTGTGTGTGCTTATGTGTGTGTGCCACATAGTGAAAAGCGACAATTTCATGTCCAATTGCTTTCCAGGTGACATGAAACAACACTTAAGTAAGAGGAAGCAAAGCTGAGTGGAATGGAGTGAGGCTCAAGGATGGGCTGAGAGAGCTTGCAACTCCCATTCGTGCAGCTGGTGCTGTTTCTCGTGCCCAACCCACACACACACACACACATACAGGTTCACACATGCACACAGAGAGATTTGTGTGTGCGTGTGGTCCTACCTGATGCCAAGGAGCACTATTATCTGGTAACGCTACAATCTACATTTAAATTGTTTTCAATATAATCTGCATGTTATGTTCACTGGCACAAAAATGAACGAGTTATTGTTTTTCTTTCCTTCCTGACAAAATGAAAATAGTATGTGAGCTCTGTCTCTGTGTGTGTGTGACTGTGTGCGTGTTTCTTAAATGAATCGCAGCATCTGCAAAAGTTCACATAGAGCAAAGTGAAAAGTGCTCTTAAAGTCGTAGTTCAGCTCAGTTCAGTCTCTGTGGATTTTTGGTCGTGGCGCCATCGAGTGCCATTCGTGTCCAGTCGTAGCTATTATTACCACGATCTGCCACTTGGATCTCAAGGGTCACTCTCAGCTCTCAGCTCTCAGCGATCTTCGCCAAAAACATGTGCGCCTAGGCTGCATTCCGAGTCCATATGCATTCCTTGGCTCTCTGCCTCTCTGTGGCATACATTATAAATGACAGCGCGTTAACACCCCCCGAAAAAAGGGAAAATAAGAGTGAAGCCTCGTCTTACAAGAATTCCAACAAAATGGGCTGATCTTTCATAAATTAGAATGCGACCAAGTGCCTGTGGAATTTCAAGTGACTCGCGGCATTCGATTTCATTCCATTTCGAATTGAATTGTTTGTTTTTTGTAACACTCCAAACACACATTTGGTTTCGTGTGACGAGCCTTGATGCTGGGGTGGTTCTACGAAAGATCTATGGAATTTTAAGAAAGTAATTCTCTAATGCGTAAATCAAAAGGAATTTGTTTGTGGCACATCAAGAGGATATACAAGTTTTTATATTAATTCTCTTCATAATTACTTGATAATTATTTGAGCAATAATTTGATATAGACTATATATAGTTAATTTTCGAAATATATTAATTGGGGTTTGCCCAGCGTGATTTATATTTTGAAAATATTTGCGAGTTCACATGAAAAGGTAGAAACACAAATACCCGCTGACAGCTTGCCAAAAAATATTACTAATAAATATAAATAAAAAACGCCATTTGTTTGAATGCATTTGTTAACATGCAGAACACAGAATAAATTAATTTTATTCCAAACGGGTTTTAAATATTTGCTATATATAATGACAATCTCAACTTTGATCAGACTTCGCATAAAATTTAAATTGATCAATTATTTATCAACTCAAAAGTAAATATAATAAATAGTATTTATTTTAATAATTTATTAAAAAACTCAGCAATTAATTATGCATTAAATATTATTTATTTCATTAAAAAATATTATTTTGATGGTTTATTATTATTCCGTTTGGCTGTGCCATAACTAGCTACACACACACACATACAATCTACATTTATATGTATGTAACAACAACAACATTGGCTGCCAGGAGTTGCGGAAGAAACTCAAAAAGTGTGCGAAGCCTTTCGATCGCAGTCCGCCATAAAAATATTTCCAACGTTACACACAAAACAAAACAGAAAAGAGAACACAAAAAACGAAGAGGGGAAGCGCAAGCACTGGAATAAGCTTGCGTTGCGAAGACGAGTGCAGCTGCCTTTCATTCCAGTCGGAGGTGGGCGTTGTCGTTAGCAACACACACACACAGAGCACAACGAGCACACATAGCGCTGTCTCGCTTGCGCCTCTGCTCCGCAGTGTCTTGTCAAAAGAGACGGCATATGCGCTGCGCTCTCTGGTTGGAACGACAGCTAACCAGAACATTAATGTGCTCGCTCCCCCAACTACAGACGCCATCTAGCGCTCTCGCTCTCTCTCGCTCACGCCGTCGTCGACAGCGCGTCGGCCTTGTGTGCCCCTTGGCCGGGCTGTCTCTGACATCGGGCAGACCAGTTTGTGTTTAAACGCGAATAGGCATAGGCGCACATCCCAGCGGTGCCTTGTCGACGGACTTCAAGCCCGTTCGTTCACAGAGAGAGAGAGGCCACTGACAGGTTGTGGAACTCGTTTCAGCCGTCGATCGCTGCAATTGCCGTAAATAAAAATATTCTCCATGTGTTTGTGCAATAGACGTAATGCGTGAAGCCTCGACGTGTCCATAAATATACGAAAAATATACTAACTAAGCAAATACAAATTAAGAGCAACCAATAACAGTGCCGCCGATCACCTAAAGCAACTGTAACCGTAACAGCAACAGCAACAAGAAACATCTAGTAAACAGCAACACATGTTATTGTGACTAACTAGCGCGACCTTTGGGTCGGTCCATGTGCAGTCCGTGTTGAAGTGAGGTTCGGGAACTCGTGACAAATACGTGAATAAATAGTGTCCAGCATCAGAGGACGATTTGTCGGTTGTCCGCAACAGCTGCAGAGAGCCAAAGTCAATAAAAAACAACAACAAACAACAGCAGCAAAAACCATACAAAAGTAAAAGAATAAAACGCAAAGTCACAACAAAACAAACAAAACATTTTCCGGCTCCGGCGACATTAACAGAACTGCTCGACATCGACAATTTGTTTTATCAATTTTCAACAAGGCCAACAACACAGCACCAACAACAACAACAACAACAACAGCGACAATAGCCAACAAACCAACAAACAACAAAAGCGCCCAGAGTGCTTAGCCGCGCTCGCGCCAAGCACGCACGCCACCACCACGACCAGCACCACCAACATCAAACCATCTCCAGCTCCATATCCACATCCGCGTCCGCATCCATCTTCAGCTCCACCCAACACCCACTACCCAACCCCTTGGCAAGTGCTCGCCCAGCATCCGCCTGCTCCAGCTTCCTCAGCATCCTTGCAGCGCGCCGGCACCCCCCACAGTGAGCACTCGTACTCGCGGCCTGCCGTTGCCGTTGCCGTAGTCGTTGCCGTAGCCGTAGCCAGTTCCCGTTAGCAGTTCTGCGACAAAGACGAACGCGACAATGGCTGCATATGCGCAGTTTGGATATGGTTACCCGTCGGCAAATCAGGTAAGCGAAAAGCAAATACCAAACGAACTTGAGTGAGAATTTAGATAGCAACGGTGGGAGGGGGAGAGAGAGTAGGGTATTTGCTTATGATGAATATGCGACATTTGCATATGTTGGCTATTTATCAAAATAACAGCGATAAGATTAGCTGATTCGTTATAGTTTTTGATTTAGTTGAGAGTTTTGGGTATGCGATTTCCCGTTTTAAGATACAATAGTAATATATTATAGATWAGCATTTTATGAATAATGAATATATTGCATTTAATATATAAAATAAAA